ACTCTGTGATTTCACAATGTTGCTTCAGAGAAGAGGGATCCTCCTACAATTTTCAGTTCTTTCTTTGGGAGCAGCATGTTGGCAGGATGAATCTAGTCCACCATTTTTTTTCCTCCCTGATAATGGTTTTGATTGAGTTTACTGTTGGTTGTAGTGTGGGCCAAAGAATGTAAAAAATATTTAGGCCATCTGTGTTTATTTGAAGAGAGTTTCATACGTCAGGACAAAGGGTGAAACACTGTAAAACTAACGTGGTTTCTAAGAAAGAATACACTTCTTTTCTCTTAGGAATTGAAATCAAATTATAGTAAATAGCAAAGTGGAAACAGTTTTGAAAGAGTAAAAGAAGGCATATTTATAGAAGCTCCCAAATTGATTCATTTTTGTGAATATAAATGTTAGCCAGAGTCTGGGAATCGTTTTTTCAGCTCAGAGCTGGATAATCTGTAAATTGTTGTTTAGATGATTATATTGGTTTTGGAGATACATGGTAACCTCTGTACATAATGCTGTATCCTGAGAGTGATTTGATAGATGACCTCCAGTTTATAACTCTTTTAAAATTTAAGTTTAAAGCTTTATTTTTGCAGCACATAAGATCAGTTTTCTCCTGAGGATAGACTCTGATGACATATGGCCATCAAATTCCTACGTAATATACTTTGTACAACTCTGCTTTTTAAATTAATATCCAAAATGGCTGCTGTATTAGGAGATCTGCTGTGTTTCCATGTTGAAATACGATTGCTGTTTTATTATATGTGAGGTGTTAATCATAATTTATTTTTTTCTAATGGGAAATCTTTTCTCTTTTACAGGGGATCTTTCCGGCAAATTACATTCACTTGAAAAAGGCAATTGTCAGTAATAGGGGGTGAGTATTTGGCCTTACTAAATTTAGTTTTATAGGCTGTGGAGGAAAGGCTATTTTTCTTTCTGATTCATAGGGTAAAATATACTATTGTTTTTCTTGAAAACATATACATGCATTATCATATATAATTCTGAGGACATAATTTTTTCTTAAAATACTGACAAGTTTAATCTGTTTTCCTATATACTGGAAAGTAAGCTGAGTTGTAAATTTTATAAAAACAGTTATGCATGCGGTATGTTTTTAAAAAATTATGTACTGTTTTCAGCATAGTGATTAATAGATTTTCTATCATTTTGTTTCTGTATGTCAAAGTGAAGGAGACTTTTAAAGTCTTTCATTTGCAATTAGAAATTGAAAAAATGTTTAAAGGCATACTGTGAGATAAAAAGACAACATAAAAAATGAATAGTTTCATCACAAATTTGAAAAACAGAAGCAGTCTGCATAAAAAACTAATAGTAAATATATCAAAATGTTAAAATTTGTTGTTTGGGCATGTTGGGATGAGTGCATGAGTGATTTTTAAAAAATTCTTTGCTGTCATGTCCTATTTTTAAAAGTAATAAAAATGTATTATAAAATTTTGATTTTATTTTTAAAAATCCATTATTTTAAAATATAAATTTTAAGTATGGTATAATTTTCAACCAAGATAGCTTCCTGTAGTAGAAATGATATTTTTGACCAGAAGTTGAGTTAAGTATCAGAGTAACTTTCTGGTCAGTTTGGGTTTATTCAGGAAAATAGAATACCTGAGTCACTTTATTTGGTAGAATTTAATGTAGGAAATTGTTTACACACACGTTTGAAGGGTGAAGGAACAAAAGAATAAAATAACTGCAGAAAACAGTCTACACTCTAATGGTGGGGGATACAAAAGAGATAATGGGTTTGGGGATACCAGAACTCAATAACATGGAAGATAGGTCTTGAGACACTTGAACTCAAACATTTGAGGAGGGGACATCGCATGGCTACTGCTGGTATATATGAAGAAGGTGGTAATGAAGCTGTTTCAGGGAATGCCAAAAGTAACTGGAGGCTGGAACCAGTTTCCAATGGTGGGAAATTGTTACAGGAACAGTAAGAACCAGCCTCCCACTGCCTTACTTCCTTTTATCCAGTATCTCTCTAATGCCCCGAACTGACAAAGGAGACTGTGAAAGAAAATTTGTGAGTCCCAGCCTCAAGATCAGTGCTTAGAAGGGTAGATTTGGAGGTGGTATTTATTAGTAAATATCTGATATGCCTTCCAAGACAAAATTTGTTATTGAGTATAAATAAGAATATAACTTAGAATGTTCTGATGGGAACACTCAACTAGCATGCTTCTTATTTTTCCCCTGCTTTTACAAAACAAGTAAAGCCACAACGATATAAAGAAAAACAAAATCTTGCAAATCCCATGTTTGTGAACCTTTGCAACAAATAATCTGCCAATTCAAGTTTATAAGCAAGGACTGTCAAAAGCATCAGACAGGACAGAAGTTATGTGGGAAAGGTAAAAGTATCTAGACTTGGAATCAGCAAAGCATATATCTTAGAAAGTGCCAAAAAATATGTTTTGTGGATGTGAATGGCTTATCGTAAAATATAGAAATAATATATTTGATTTATAGCACCTTGGTCAATAATGGTGCTGACCGGAGCCGAAATTGGGTGGCAGCTGCATGGGAACAATGTGAGAAAAGGAGATAAGGAGAAAATCTAGGGATGCAGAAATAGAGTGTCTTAGAAAATGCCAGCAAAATCATGTACTTTCTGATAGATAATAAGGGACTCATCTTAAGTCCAAGAGCCATATGCCCCATTTATGGTAGTTGTAAAGGAAATTGGGGAATACTTTACTAGCAGAAGTATTCCTACGTGGATTCAGTTTGTTTGAGGAAAGCAGAGGAGATATAGCTGTATAATGAGTTATACAGAGCAGCCATATTAGGAAGCACTCTTTCTTTGTAGAAGCAAAGAAACATAGATTTTTGCATGTAAATCTTAGAAAGCTACCTGGAATCAACTTCCATATCCAAATGTCTAACAGATTGATGGTTCAGAATAAAAGTTCTAAAATCTAGAGAAAATATTAAAAGACAACTGTATGTAGGCACTGGAGAACAGTGGATGTAGGCAGGATCTTGAGGGCCTATGACTCTTGAAGGAAGAGATGTACACAAGGAGAGCTCTATGTTTACTCTGGCTTTTTTCCCCAGAGAATTTTTGAGTTTGCTGTGTTGTGGCAGAATAGAGCCCAGCCAGAAAATGGTAGTCTTTCATGGCATCAGCAATTTGCTGGAATAAGAAGTCTCAGTTCTCATGCCCCAACAGAAACACTGATTTAACAAGAATATACTGAGAAAAATACCTTTATAAGAGGTCCAGAATTTAGCGAAGAAGTTGTAGTACCCTAGAGGACCACAAAATGAAAAACAGCCACATTGAAACAGGTAAGAAGACAATTTCACTTGACCTGCATCAACCCCTCCCCAAAGGTGGCCAAGAGAGAATTTGACTCAGTCTGTGACTCCTCCATACGGATGAAAGAAAGAGTGAGTAGAGTATACATCCAATATCCCTGGCATTTTTGGGTGCTGCTCGAGTGACCTCTTTTTGTCCTGTGTCACCCAGAGTGCTGAAGTAACCAACACAGTTTAAACATGTAGGGGCAGCTTAGAACAAAACAATAGAGTGGGAGGCTCACTGCAGCTGGCACAGCTCTGTGAGACTGGGAAAAGTGCACAATCCTAAGATTTCTCTCCTAGGAGGGAGTGAGAGAAGTGGGAGCAGGCATCCAGTGCCCCAGCCTTTCAGTACACTACTCTAGAGAAAAAGGGAGGGCAGCTAACTGTGGCCAGTAGAGCTCTGCAAGATTGGGAGAAGATGCATAATTCTGATACTTATGCCCCAGGAGGGAAGGAGAAGAGTGAAGCATGCATTCTGGCCTTTCAGTGCAATGCTGTAGGGAAAAGAGGTAGGTAATTTACTGCTGCCAGCATGGCTCTGTGAGATTGGGAGAAGGCAAAGAATCCCAAGATTCCCAGAAGGGAGAGAGGAGTGGAGTGTGTACATCCATAGATAAGGTTTGAGAGGCTCCTGGAATCTTAGCTGGGCTGGTTGGTGAGGATCTTTCTCTATTGAAGCCAGTCCATGAAGACTGAGAGAGGTAGCCATTTCTTCATACCTGCAAACACCAAGGCAAAGCTACAAAGAGGATGAAGAATTGGGGATATATGACACAACCAAAGAACTGAAATAAATACCCAGTAGCTGACCATAAAGAAATGGAGTTCTAAGAATTGCCAAACAACTCAAACTAATTGTCTAAGATTGTTTAATTCAGTAAGTTACAAGAGAACACAGACAACTAAATAAGGAAAATGATATGTGAACATTATGAGAATATCAAAAGAAGACAGAAACCATAAAAAAAAGAACTAAACAGAAATTATGGAGCTGAAGAATACAATAACTGAACTGAAAATTCTGTAGGGAACTTCAATGGCATTTTTGATCAAACAGAAGAAAGAATGAGTCAATTTGAAGATAGGTCATTTAAATTATTCATTAAGAGGATCAAAAAGAAAAAAGAGCTGGGTGAAGTGCCATGTACCTGTAATCCCAGCTACTTGGGAGACTGACGCAGGCGGATTGCTTGAGCCCAGGAATTCACATATAGCCCAGGCAACATACTGAGACCACATCTCTTGGGGGAAAAAAAAAAAAAAAGAATGAAAAAGAGTGAAAAAAGCCTAAGGAACTTGTGGGATACCATTATGGAAACCAATATACTCAATATGGAATTATCAGAAGGAGAAGAGAGAGAGAGAAAGAAAGAGAAGAGGAAGAAGAAGAAGAAGAAGAAAAGAGAAAGAAAGAAAGAAAGAATAGGTTAGAAAGCTTATTTAAAGAAATAATGGCCGAAGACTTCCCAAATCTGAGGAGAGAACATCGTTTCTTGAAGCCCAAAGAACCCCTTTAAGATGAACCCAAAGAAATGCACACTGAAATACAGTATAGTCAAATTGTCAAAAGTCAAAGACAGAATTTGAAAGTAGCAAGAGTAAAGGGACTTTGTCACGTACAAGGGAGCCTCCATAAGACTTAATTTCTCGGTGGAAACCTTGCAGGCCAGAAGGGAGAGGGATGATATATTCATTGCACTGAAGGGAAAAACAGCTGTCTTTCAAAAATGAAGGTGAGCGAAAGGCTTTCCCAGACAAACAAAAGCTGAGGAAGTTTGTCACCTGCCTTACAAAAAATGCTAAAAGGAGTTCTTTACATTGAAATAAAAGGATGCTAAACAGCAACATAGAAGTATATGAAAATATAAAACTCATAGGTAAAGGCAAATATAGAGACATATACAGAATATTGTAATAATATAAAGGTAGTACATGACTCCCTTTTAGTATAAAAGTTAAAAGGCAAGTACTAAAGATAGCTATAACTACAAAAATTTGTTAATGGATACACAATATAAAAGATGTAAATTGTGACATCAGTAACAAAATTAGGGGAGGGAATTGATGGGTTTTTGTATTTGATTGAAGTTGTTATCAGCTTAAAATAGACTCTTAAAAGATGTTTTACATAAGCCTCATGGTAACCACAAAGAAAATATCTATAGAAGATACAGAAGAGAAAAAGAGAAAAGAATCAAAATGTATCAATACAAAAAATTAATCAAACACAAAGTAAGAGAGTAAATGCAAAAGAATACACAATAGGAAACAATTAACAAAATGACAATCATATAAATCCTTACCTATTGATAAATAAAAGAATGTGGTAGTCTTTTAGGGTATGAGGAAATGGAGGTTGGAATTTGGAATTTCCAGGTAGGCCGGAAATTAAGGTGCAAAATTTCAGAGAAGAGGGAACACAAGAGAATGGGGCCCTTAATCAGTATACAGATTCCCCTCATATGATGGAATTATTCCTTGTTTCTTATGGGCAGTGCAAGACTCCAGGAATGTTAATAAAAAAGTACCGAGGGCAACACA